CCCCAAAACCCCAAAACCCCAAAACCCCAAAACCCCAAACAAATGAAAAAAGATTGTAAGAAACTTATAATATTATTTTAAAACATTAGTTTTGACTAGCATGGCTACTTCCATATACAAAATTCGTGATCGCCGTCCAAATCCTTTTAAAGATGAAGTCAGAGATTTTACCTTTGCAGAAACTCTTTCCCCTAGGGAGGGAAAGTATATGGTTAAGGCAGTAGGAAAAATTCTTTTAGAAATTCAAAATATTCTTGAAAAGCCGGAGCAAAGCTCGGTCGATAGCCCCCCACCTTGTTGGCAGAGGGACAAAAGCACTTCTAAAAGCAGCAAAAGACTAAAATATCAGTCTTCGCAGGCTTTGAGTGACGACGAGGTTAATGAACCAACAAAGGATATTAACCGCTGAGCTGACAAAACCTACCATAGACGAGAACTGGATCAGGTAGTTTCCAAAATAAAGAAGCCAGTAGGTTGGTCTAATGGCTCTTTGAAATTGAAGGATCTTCCATCTAGTAGATTCCCTGTGGTTAGTGGATCAAAGTTCCACTGTCCTGATCTCCTCTCTCCTTCCTTCAATGGGGTCTCCCTTCTAGGGAATGTTTATAGCGTCAGTAGGCTAAGCGTAAAAATAAGTTCTTTTGTCTCTTCCTTCTATAAGCATTACTCCATCGTATCTTACTCCTCGTTTATTCTGTCTCTTATCTATATTGACAGATTTCTAAAGTCTCAAAAGATCAACAACTTTATGGAATTGACAAAGTTCAGCATCACAAGGTAAGCCAGCTAGACTTAATTGGTGAATTTTGTAAATAACTCTTGATATAGACTGTTCCTGGTAGGAATTATAGTGGCAATGAAGTACCACGAGGAGTACTACATTGAAAACAACTACTTCTTCAAGCACGCGTCCAAATACTGCAGTATTTTTGATGTAAAGGAGCTTAATGAGCTCGAGAGAATCTTTCTCAAAACTATTGATTACAGACTGAAAGTTAGCCAAAAAGAACTCAACAAATATCTCAATTCTGTCTATGAAAAGTCTCAAGAACTGCAATGCAAGCAGTTCAGAGTGTATGTCAGTAGGTTTGAGATCAAACATGACTATTTTGAGCTAGAGGAGGAAAACACTAAGGAGTCTATTGAGTTTGATGAAGTCCAAAATATGAACTGAACATATCCAATAAATAAACTTCAAACATACTCTAAAAGGCCTCAGATCATCCTTAATAACAGATTGTTTAATGGCTATGAAGAGATCTACAAGTTCTTCCATCTTGAGATGGTGTGTGATGATAAGAAAAGTATTTCCCAGAGAGGATCTCTCTCTACCTCTGAGGAATCCAGAGAGAACTTTCTTATATTTAACTAATTTCTATAAGTATAGTTTCCAATATTGTCAGAATTATGGTTCGATATCTGTTTAGCCTTAAAAATATTTTGAACAGGATTTCTAAAACTTAGCAATGCAGAATTTAGATAAGACTGATTTCATTAGAGCTAATTTATAATGCCATACGCTATCAAGATTTTGTCCATTAATATGGGATTTTTAAGGAACGTACTCTTTAGACAATCATAGCATATGGAAGAAAGATTTAGAGTTATTAAATATCACTAGAGGATAAAGAAACTAATTTCTAAATAATAGTTGTACACAAATAACAGAGGATTGAAGGAATAAGTGACATCAGTCATATTAAAGATTTTGTTGGACGTTTACCTTCTTAGATCAATTTCCATCTCATTTCGCTAAGATATAAATAAGGAGGCATAGCATAGACTCTGTGGAATATATTATAACAATGGTCAAAGCCTTCTTCAAATACAGCCATAATAACAGAAGACTTGTTAATAGATGTGCAAAGGGGATCAGTATGCCCTAAAATTCATCTTCTTAGATATTAGATCCTCCCTTGTTGCTAAATCCTGGTCAAACTTTATCATCTCCAAGCAAAATATTGAAGCTTCTCAGTTTTGTAGCAAAAAGAAAGGTGGAAGAATATAAGCTGAAGCAATACATTTTATATAAATTTAGAACACAAATATTCAAGTTTTCAAGAACAAAACTTTAATAGGGGTTTTGGGGTTTTGGGGTTTTGGGGTTTTGGGG